ATTAATTTATATTCCAATTGATTAATCTAAATTAAAAACAGTTCAATAATTTAACTTTTATCATTTATATTCCAATCGATTAATTGAAATTAAAACAGTTCAATAATTTACCTTTAATCATTTATATTCCAATCGATTAATTTGAATTAAAAACAGTTCAATAATTTTTACTCTAACCATTCATATTCCAATCGATTTCTATAATTGATCAATTCACTGATAAATAAAATTATAATTTAGGTCAATAATCTATAAATCAATTTCTGTAATTGATCAATTCAATTAATTCAATCGTTATAAATAATTTATTCAAATCCAATATGGGGAGATCACAAAATGTGGGAAAAATTGACAAGGACATACAGACAAGGACATTCAGACAAGGACATACAGACAAGGACATACAAACAAGTACATACAGACAAGGACATGCAGAAAAGATCATACAGACAAGTACATACAGACAAGGACATACAGACAAGAACATACAGACAAGTACATACAGACAAGGACATACAGACAAGGACATACAGACAAGGACATACAGACAAGGACATACAGACAAGAACATACAGACAAGGACATACATACAAGGACATACAGAAAAGAACATACAGACAAGGACATAAAGACAAGGAATACAAACAAGTACATACAGACAAGGACATACAGATAAAGACATACAGACAAAGACATATAGACAAGGACATACACACCAGCACATACAGACAAGGACATACAAACAATTACATACAGACAAGAACATACAAACAAGTACATACAAACAAGTACATACAGACAAGAACATACAGACAAAGACATACAGACAGATGATTAGATGAAGAGATGGAAAGATAAATTAATATATTTATAATATAGATAGATAAAAATAGATAGATAGATAATTAAATATACGGTGGTAGGCGGTCAAATCAATATAATGAAGACGGCTTTTTTAGGTTTTAATTTTTAACAAGTTTTTTTCAAATTAAGAGTTTACAAGTAATTAAAGAGAAGCTTTTTTATTAGCTTCTGTTTGTGTCCATGTTTTTGTGTATCCATGCTCTTTAAAAGCTTGATATAAAAATTGAAATCGAAAGACGTCTTAATTATATTGATATCATCGCCTAGCATCGTAGTTAAATAGAGATAAAGATAGATTGATATAGTTAGAAAGATCAGACAGATAGATAGACAGATAGAAAGATATAGTTAGATATAGATAGATGGATAGATAGATAAATAGAAAGATAGATGGATAGATACCTAGATGAGGGTTTGGTTCCACCTTTGCTCCTCCCTTTGATCCAACCCAGAAGTAATCCTAGATATTTACACTGATAATAATAATATCTGCAAAAGAACAATTAGAATAATTGAAATAGTAAATATCAACCCTATTTGTATAATAAAAGGAGCTCAGTAACATCACAAAATTATTAATTAAAACCTACTGTAAACGTTTAAGAAAAATAAAAAAAATTAGCACCGAAATGTGAAAAGCCAATACATTGTTTTTATTAGTAGATTTTGCGACTCTGCACATAGGAAAATAGCAGAGACAGAGGGACNTCTGTCGGAGGGATAAATCGATCTGTCGGAGGGATATATCAATCTGTCGGAGGGATATATCGATCTGTCGGAGGTCAAAGGTCAGAACTTTCAGAGTTGTGAATTTCAGGATTTAGCAATAAGCGTACATCTCCATATATTGTATTAATTTAATTTTTCTTTGGTATCCCGTAGTGACTTCACCCTGCAGTAGGAATAACAAAATTCAAGGGATCAAGCACTTAGCTTTTATACTGGATATTGAGATCAATTGTAGAAGATTAGTGCCCTGTTACACAAGTTACAATATATCGAGATCAATTGTAGAAGATTAGTGCCATGTTACACAAGTTACAATATATCGAGATCAATTGTAGAAGATTAGTGCCCTGTTACACAAGTTACAATATATCGAGATCAATTGTAGAAGATTAGTGCCCTGTTACACAAGTTACAATATATCGAGATCAATTGTAGAAGATTAGTGCCCTGTTACACAAGTTACAATATATCGAGATCAATTGTAGAAGATTAGTGCCCTGTTACACAAGTTACAATATATCGAGATCAATTGTAGAAGATTAGTGCCCTGTTACACAAGTTACAATATATCGAGATCAATTGTAGAAGATTAGTGCCCTGTTACACAAGCTACACTATATCGAGATCAATTGTAGAAGATTAGGTCCATGTTACACAAAGCTACAATATATCTAACAACACTTTTGGATTACTTCTTACAATGAAATGTTTCTTTCTTTACCTCAAAATAAAATTTGATCTTTGAAGCCCAGGCTTCAAGAGTAACAGCTCCTTCTAAAATAATTTAAAAAAAGAAAAACCTAAATTAAACTTCTAAAACAATTGCCTTTCAAATTATTTTAAAAAATTAAAATTTCACAAATAATTTCTACCTGTTCCCTT